GCACAGTAAATATATTATTGCCCCTGTATTTCCTTTTTTTTTTTTTTTTTGGATCTTCTATAGTTGTATTGTCTAATACAATAGTCACTAGGCACATGTGGCTATTTAAAGTAATTACTGGAGAGTGAAGAAATGGAACATTATCACGATAGCAGAACGTTCTATTGAACAGCATGCTTTATAATGTGTGCATTACTTTTTCCAGATTACTAGTTGAACTCACTGAATTTAGAGGTACTTTATTCAAAAAGGTGTTTGTAAATTGAAGAAAAACATACTGAGCATGTAATTTGAAAATATAATACATTGTTTAAAAGTGTTTATCCTGGGACTTCCCTGGTGGCACAGTGGTTAAGAATCCGCCTGCCAATGCAGGGGACGTGGGTTCAAGCCCTGGTCCGGGAAGATCCCACATGCCACGGAGCAACTAAGCCCATGTGCCACAACTACTGAGCCCGTGAGCCACAACTACTGAAGCCTGCATGTCTAGAGCCCATGCTACGTAACATGAGAAGCCACTGCAATGAGAAGCCCTCGCACCACCACAAAGAGTAGCCCCTGCTCACCGCAACTAGAGAAAGCACGTGCGCAGCGATGAAGACCCAACGCAGCCATAAATAAATAATTTTTTAAAAAAAGTTTATCCGAAATTTCACAACTTTTTAACACCCTCCAAATACATAATTAACTTTCTAAAGGCTAATTTTTATTTTCATCAGGATATACCTGCACATAGTTTAAGGAATCAAATTATTTAACAAGACATAGTAAGAAAAAGAAATATTGTTTGCTCCCATCACATCCCATTTCCCACTCCTTAGAAGCAAGCAATTTCAACCCTTTCAGTTATTTAATGTTTTCTCCCTATCCCTAAGGGAGATGCTTATACTGCTGCTTCCTATGTTTTCAGGTTAGGTATCTACCTACTCGTTTCCCACTAACGGAAGATGAGCATTTCTTTCCCAAACTCTTCCCATCACTGCCCCTGCACACTTCCCTCCTCATCCTTCCAATAAATGTATTTTGCTTCATAAAAATTCAGTGCTGTAATTCTTGACTGTGTAAATGATATTCACAGCCAAGCTATACAGAACATCATTTGCCTTATTCGAATGTGTACAAGTAGGTATAAAACTTGATGAATTTTTCACAAGCGAGCACATTATGCAACCATCACCCAGATCTAGAAACAGGACAGTGAGACGGAAGCACCCAACAGCCTTCATAATCCTCCCGTCACCCCTGTCCTCTAGAACCACTCTGACCATTTTTGCTATAGTTTTGCCTGTTCTTACAATTTATATAGAATCAGTGTATTCATTTTTTTTTTATTTTTGGCTGCGTTGGGTCTTCGTTGCTGTGCATGGGCTTTTCTCTGGTTGCAGTGAGCGAGGGCTACTCTTTGTTGTGGTGCACGGGTTTCTCATTGTGGTGGCTTCTCTTGTTGCGGAGCACGGGCTCTAGGCGCACAGGCTTCAGTAGTTGTGGCTCACAGGCTCAGTAGTTATGATGCCTGGGCTTAGCTGCTCTGTGGCATGTGGGATCTTCCGGGACCAGGGCTCAAACCCATGTCCCCTGCATTGGCAGGTGGATTCTTAACCACTGTGCTACCAGGGAAGCCCAGTGTGTACTCATTTTTTTCTGGCTTCTTATGCTGTTCTTTTTCTAGCTTGAGATCAAAGCTTAGATTACTGATCTTTCTTTTCTATGCATTTAAAGCTATAATTCTCGATAGCATTAGTTATATCTTATAAATTTTTACACGTTGCATATTATCATTCATTTCAACATAGCTTTCCATTGTGATATTTTTGTATTTTAAAAATACTGATTTTTCTCCATCATGTTGTGATATGTTCCTTACACCAATCCTTAGAAATCTGTTGAGACATTTTATATATCCTGGACAACAGCTGCAGTTGAGGTCATCACCTGATTAGTTGATAATACAGTCATTTCCCAAGATCCATTAAGTTTCTGTACAGTCTGAACAGATGTTAGGAGCCTCTACCCTGAATCTTTCTGTATTTTTTTTTTTTTTTGCTTGTTTTCTTTCTCTATTTTTAATGATGACACTTGGCAATTTCCCCAGAGATGTAGCACTGACTTGCTTTACTATTCTGGCTTCTACTTGGCCCTTGTTTCAGTCAGGGAACCAAAGTGGGGATTCTGTCAGTTGTCAGGTATGTCTATCCCAAATACACTCTCAGGAACAGGGAAAGTAAGCACAGGGGTTAAGTCCAAGAACTGAGCTGCCTGTGACACAAGCTAGGGCTCAACGTCCACGTATGACCAGACCCAAAAGGAAGCCAACTGTCAAAGAAGTGTTAAGTCACAGCCACATTACAAAGAGCATGGGAAGCAAATTTGGAGTGAATAGACAATAGGTGTATGAGAGCAGTCAGACTGTCAGATCTCACAGCTCACCAACTGTGTCTAACCTGTACTTATCCTGTCCACTGAGCTTTAAATTTGAATTAGTTTTTCATCAATTCTATTTTGACAATTCTTAAATCTGCCCGATTTTTTTATAGAACCTTGTTATTTTCCCATTTCTGACACGCTTATTTCTTTACACATATTATACAGTGATTTCAAGTTCTGTATCTGAGAACCCCCGTATCCGTCACCTCTGTAGAGCTTATTCTGTAATTTGTTCCTGCTAACTCTTGCGTATGATGGCATTTCTTGGTATAGGGTAGATTTATTTCCTAGCTCAGTCCCAGAAGGTCAGATTGGTCCTCCTCTATCAGCCTCCATCCATTTTCCAGGTAAGAGAACAGGAAAAGGCTATAGCACTTTCACCAGGGAAGCAGAACTGTCCTCGTAAACTCCAAGTAGACTTCTGCTTACATCTCCCGGATCACAACCGTGTTACAGCCCTAACTGCAAGGCTTTCAGCCTCCATAGTTGAGAGCACTGGTGATGAGGTGTTGAAAGAGCCACTGTGAGTTTCTCCGTGTAGTAGAGACAGGCAAGAGTCCCAAGTCACTGCGAAGGGGTTGGTGGCACAAGTCATGAGGGTTACAAAACGCTGTTTTGGAGCAGGGGTTATGGAAGGGTACTCAGACCTAACCTACAAGGGCCGTTAAAGGCAAGGCCTCTGTAGAACCACTGCTGCTGGCCAGGTTCTCCCTGTAGCTGCTGCCCGTAACTCACTATTCAGGGCCTCTAACACACCTTACAGTAACCAGTAACCATCAACCAACAAATCAGGAATTTATATAGACAAAGAAAAAGATTCAAACTGACACAAAAAAAGAAGAAACATCCCTTGGTCAAGATTTATTTCAAGGCCTGAAAACACTGACTAACTGAAAATGGCCCTACAGCAATTTCTTATAATAAATACTTTATATATAAAACTTAAAAAAATGTAGACACTATTAACTAACTCCTAAACCACACACTATAGGCCTTTTCAAAAGCAAGTTATTTAACAAAATGTAAGGTGACAATATCAAAGAATTTTCACACTTAATGAGGACACAATCAGTCACAAGCTACTCAAACACAAATCGTTTTTACACTTTCCACGTTTGTTTTTAATTTTGTTTCATAGAACCACTGATAATTGAGGCTTCTTTCAAGTATAGGATTTCTAACATTAAATTACATTTTCTAAGTATTTCTTTAAAGAAATGAAAAAGACACATACTACACTGTTTGCCATAAATGCATACACCAAAAAGTCAAAACAATCCAACTGAATTTATTCCTGCTTCCCCCTTCTCCAACATTAGCTTTAGATGTTCTTCTAAATATTATATAAACAGTTTTGTTAAAATCAGTTCTCATTTATGCAGATTAGGGAAAATGGTTTTGTAATGAGTTATCTTTAAAATTATCTTCTAGATAGCACTCTTTAGCCTTAAATTACATTGTGCACACACAACTACAACAGTCTGCATTTGCTCAGGTACAGTCACATTAAAAACAAATAATTTTGTATTTCATAGTTTAGTTGGGTCTTAAATAGTTTCCCTAGTGGGGGAAACAAGTATTTGTGTTGTTTAAGAAACTGGTATATATAAATGAAATGCTAGGTGTTCGTTTAAACTTTGAGGAAACCTACAGATGAACATTTGGGTGTTTTTTCTAAAATGCAAGAGATATGCACTTAATCACTGTTCATATAGTGAAGCAATGGGATGGCAGATACAGACGCAGATGAAACTCTACATTTTGTAAATGTAAAGTTGGATATTCTAAATGGAAGAACTGACACTGACAATTGTTTACAGGAAACAAAGGTTAAGAAAAATGTTGAAGACTATCTACTCTTAAAAAGAGAGAAGTGTTATACAACACAAAAATGAGAACTAGAGATTCGAAAAACACTCATTTTACTGTTTGAAAAGAAAAACAAAAAAATAATAGGGAGAGTCTAGACCAATTAGAACTGAGGCAGCTGTAACAAAAATGGAACACAGTACAATGATTTGAGCCCTTAAAGGAAATGACTAACTAAAATGAAATTTCACAAGTCTTCATGTCTATAATAATATATAAATGCACAAAAAATCAAAATTACGAAGTCTGGATTTTTCCCCTTAGGTTTGTAATAAACTGTCAAACCTCTGCTTAATATAGTTATTTTTATGAGCCTTCTGATTAGCAGAGCATGTTATACAGGTACATGCATGCTAGAATTTTACCATGAGAATTAATAGTTCTCATCTCAAACCAGTGACTTGCCTGTTACCCATATTTATATATATTTCATTTCCATTATAAAACACTTAAGACCTTTCTAGTGGTACATTTTAATCAACATATTACATGAGAAAGAATCTTGATTTTTAAAATGAACCTTTTTAGTACTGTACATGATGGGTTTAATTGAACAGTTGGAACACAATATAGTAACTACATTGGACTGTTTAATTCACAGCTGTAGGAAAATGTTTGATTTTTAAAATATAGCCAAGATGAGACTGTAGAGTTATGAGCAGTAAAATATTAGGAAACAGTGAATGAATAAATAAGATGCTTTTCCTTCAGTGGCCATTCATTATTTTGCTTTTAGGAACCTGGAAGAAATTGTCTTCTTTGAGTTTCAAATGTTCTGGTAAATCTAGTCGTTTCTTAGCTTCCTCAATATCACCTTGAATTGCTGAAATAAGTGACTCTGTGGAGAGAATATACCAGGTAAAGATAACGAAAAACTGCTGCTGTGTTTTTATACTACTCCTTTGTTCAGCTTCTCCTAAAATCTCATAGGTTGGCAGTGCTCCTGGCACAGGGTAGATGCCCAATAATGTCCGTTTCATCCTTTCTTCTAGACTTAATTAAAAGTCAATAGTACACAAAAGATGTCCCTAATCTTCTTGCAATTACTTAGAGAAAGGCATTAGCAGAAAGGTATATGGCATATACCAAATGGAAGAAACAAATACTATCAATTCTCTTCAGTATTTACACTTGTAAAAGAAACTCTACATTAGAATTAAAACTATCACACTATACTAAGATACTTGACATTTGTCTTAAACGTTCCGATTTACTGCTTCTTACACTTCAACTACCGCTAAGTATTCATCACAGTATTAACTCTTACTGGTTCCTTAAATATGAAAAGGAAATAAAGATTTCGTTAACTTCATACTGTTGGAGAGAGAGACAGCCTGCTGGGTTTGAATCTAGGCTCCATCACTTACCATGCTACCCCGGGCAAATTACTTAACCTCTCTGTGCCAATTTCCTCATCTGCAAAATCGGCAAAATAATTCCTCATGTGGGTGTTGTGGGGATAAAGTGAGTTGATTCATGTAAGGCTCTTAAAGCAGTGCCTAGCATATTAAATGCTCAAATATTATCTGTCTAGCCATGATTACTATTAGGATAAGCAGCAGAGTAGCTGCAGTAATATTTAAGAAGATCTAAATAAGAACTTACCTAAAGAATCAAAGTTCTTTTCTGGTCTGAGGTAGCCGACAATGGCCACGTTGAGAATTTCCCCATAGAAGTCCTCTTTGAAAGTATGCATGATATGAGTTTCCTACAGTCAAGAGATGTTAAAATTGAATTTATCTTTATCTTTATGGTGAGGTAATTTAAATGAAACAATCAACCCTCCTTAAAATTTTAAAGACAGGTTAAAATCTAAGTGCAGTATTCCCTGAATTCTTCCATTGCTCCTGTTCTTGACCTTGTACCATTATAACTGAGTAAGGTAGATGTTATGCCACAAATCTGGTGTGATTTGCTGTTTTTAGAAAAAGCTAACATGCACCAAAGTAATTAAGAGTCTTATCAAGGTGAAACAACTGAGCAAATACAGCAGAGGGAAACTCTTCTTCAAAAGATACCATTCCATTAAGCGAATTAAAAAAAAAAAGAGGCAACACAGTGGAAGAAGGCATTTGTCACACATAGTTCCAACAAAAGAATTGGATCCAGAACATATTAAGAACTTCTTTAAGTCAGTAAGACAGACAATCCTATTTTTTTAAAGGGATAAAGACTTGAACAGGTACATCATGTATGTCTCTTACCAGCAAAGAAAAGGAAAAAGAAAAACTCTAAAAAGTATGAACCTCCTACCAATGGAAAACTGAGTTTCTCCTAACTATGAAAGGACCTCCAAGGCACTCCTTAACTGGCTCTATAGTAAGAGTTCTGTTATCTGAGTAGCTAATAAGGAAAAATTAGTCATGGGATACCCTCCCCTCCCCTTCATTTCCTCTCTCATTCCAGAGAAAAATATTTTGCCTTCTTTCATCGATTATTTTCTTTATCTATTCCAACACACCCTTAATCCTGAAAAATAAGAGGAACACTGAGCACAACGTTAAGTAGTTCTGGGCCACTTCTATTGCTTATACCAGCACTTTTCTATAAACTCTTCAAAGAGGATGAAATTTAGATCAACTATAACCGTTTGTGCCACATACTTGAGCTGACTCAAAGATTCAGCCACATCTAGCAGATTAAGCACTTAAGCTGTGTAGGTCTTCTGTTCATAAGAACAAAAGAATTATGTATACTCTCAAAGGGGTTTAAAAAGAGGAAAAAGGGCTTCCCTGGTGGCGCAGTGGTTGAGAGTCCGCCTGCTGATGCAGGGGACACGGGTTCGTGCCCCGGTCCAGGAAGATCCCACATGCCGCGGAGCGGCTGGGCCTGTGAGCCATGGCCGCTGAGCCTGCGCGTCCGGAGCCTGTGCTCCGCAACGGGAGAGGCCACAACAGTGAGAGGCCCGCGTACCGCCAAAAAAAAAAAAAAGAGGAAAAACAGCATCATCTTGCAATTTTATCAGAAAGCACCATCCACGGCGTAAGCAGTTCTACCTTAACAGGGTGACCAAATAATTAAAGAGTAAATGACCTACATTAACTGGTGAACTCAACTTTATTTCACTTTTATTTCTAATAAAGGTAAACACATGGGCAGTTATAAAAATTAATTATTGTAGTTTTGGTTTGTGATTCCACTCTCTATTTTCTCCATGATTTAAAAGATAAATGCATAAAAATTTATTAATCTATGTTTTTGGGTACACAATGATGTAATTTGTGAGTTTTGGTATACTATTAAGTTCATATAAATTCAAAATAGATTTTTATAACTTTAGGATGTTAAACGCAGTCCCCATGGCAACCACAAAGAAAAAAGGAAATAAGAAAGGGATCAAAATGTGTCACTACAAAAAAAAGTCAACTAAACAAAAAAGGCAGTAATGGAGGAACAGACAAAAAAGCTATAAAGCATACTAAAAACAAATAGCAAAACATCAGAAGTCTCTCCTTATCAGTAATTACTTTAAATGTAAATGGATAAAACTCTCCAATTAAAAGGCAGAGATTAGCAGAATGGTTCAAAAACACAAGATCCAACTATACCCCCTTTATAAGAGACTCACTTTAGATCCAAAGACACAAATAATCTTGAAAGTGAAAAGGATGGAAAAGTTACCCCATTCAAAGAGTAACTAAACTCTTCACTTTTAAACCTGTCAAGTAAATTCTCGTATTTGGATTATGTTGTGATCACCACTGATGAGTTCTGTCTGTGTATTACTCTAAATCATCATCCCATTCTCTGTTTACAGAGTGAAATACAATTCTTAATTCTTACCATGGACTTTTTTGTATTCTTGTAGTATGGGTTCCATCCTATGCTCACCACCATCTTATGGACGTCTCCACTTCCAACACTGGCCCAACCATAATATATGCCAGTGGATACATCAGCTGGAAGATTATCTACTACTTGTTCAGGAAAGTTAGCTAAACAACAGAAGAAAATATGCTAATATTTAGACTTTCATAGTCAATATTTAGAAAATTCACGTGTAAGGCTAGTCTAAATCATTACCCTCACAAGATTCCTAGGACTCTAACTACAACTATTAATCCCATCATTTCATACTCTGGCTACGATTTCTTTCTCCTCTTCATACGGATTGGTTAGGAAAAAAGGTACCAGATTATATATGTATAAGTTACCAGGTTATAGTAAGTGTACCAAAAATCGTAAACTCTCATAGTAGAAGAAAACAGGTACATGAACAGCTGGGGGTTTTTTTAGCCCTGGTCCTTCTTAAAGGGGTTCAGCGTCTCTTGAAAAGATTTCTATTTTCGAAATATACATACTAGGTCCCAAGCTCAAAGACTGCTTTAATAGGTCTAGGTGCAGCCCTGGAATGTATTTTTAAGGAAAAATTAAGCATACCTTCAGGACCTGACTACTAAAACTAATGCAGACCAAAAAAGATACCTGGTTCTTATTCACCTGCCTGTGTCATCATTTGGACACAACCTACTAACGTATTTAAAGAACGAAAACCTTACAGCTGGCTTGAGAATTTAGCCTATCGGGCCCACATTACATTTTCTAAAGAGAAAGACGCGCGCCACGTTTGGCGGATTTATCACGGCTGGATAGGGAGGCGGGAAAGAGGGCTGCCGAAACTCAGCTCTGGCTTCTTGCCCTCACCACCCCACAAGCCGGTGAGCTCGGAGCCACGAGCAAGGACTCGCTCCGTCAGTCCGACCAAAGGTCATCAGCCTCAACAAAGCGGGGGCGGGGAGGACGGGAACGTCACCTCTGCCCGTAGCCCCACCACCCGGCCCGGAGCCCCCCGGCTGACGTCCCCGCTCTCAGGTGACCCGGCCCAGCGTGGGTGGGGGACTCCGCGTCCTCCCGCGCTCACCTGTAGGGATGCCCAGCTGCTTGGAGCCGCGACCGAAGCCCCGCACCACCTGGCCGCGGCAGAAGTACGGCAGGTGCCTCATGACGCCGTCCGCTCGGGGTGCGGTCTGCGGTCCAGTCCGCGCGTCCGGCGGAGCCGCCGTCGAGGCGGTGCCCGGACGCCCCGGACCAGCCGGGGGACGCGAGAGGGAGCTCCGCAGCCCGGTCGGCCGGGCGAGCGCACGGGCGTACAACTGGCCGAGCGGCGCAGACGACACGCCACGGCAAGACGCTCACGCCACTGACAGAAGGTGCCGGGCGACTCAGACGCTGCGTCTGGGCTCCGGAACGCAGGCGACCGCGGAAGTGCGGCTGTGGGCGGGGAGCGGAGCGGGGGCGGGCCGGCTTGGGACGGCCCCCCGGCCCTCGAGCCCACCGAGCGCCACAGGCCTACGCACTCTGCCCAGGCCGAGCGCCCCGGCGCTCGTACGGCGTCCGTAGCCCCGCCCCAGACGTAGCCCCGCCTCCAACCTAGCCCCCGCCCCAGACGTAGCCCCGCCTCCAACTTGGCCCCCGCCCCAGACGTAGCCCCGCCTCCAACGTAGTCTGGGAGGTGTCCGTTCTTTCCTTGGTATCTCAGTCTTCCCGGGCAGTGGGAACCGAGGCGGTTACAGGTTTTTCAGCCTGGGCCTGTGAAAGCACTGTCCTCATTCTCAGACACTCCGAAGTGTTTCTTTCCCCTTTTTCCTTTTCATTATGAGCCTGATGCCGAGAAGAGACGTTCTTTAGCTCCTTAACAACTGCTAGGTTGCTCGTCATTCATCACTCATTCGCTTTTTAAAGGTTTATTAAACCTCCAAAATTCCTCCTCTTCATAGAATCTTTTCACGACTAGATACGGGAAGTGGACCTCCTCTCCCCCAGACCACTTGACCATGGTCTGAAGTTGTACCAGTATGTAAGCTCCAGGGGAGCGGGTCCTGGTCTGTAACGCTTCAATCCCAGTGACTAGTGGAAGGTTACAGTGATGCAATTTTTTTGAGCAGGGAAGCGGCTGCCTACCCTCCCTCTATCTTCCGGTCTCCCTGAGAACTTAATAAACTTGATGTAAGACTTGATCTCTACTGCAATGCAAATTTGTGGGCCTTCTGACCCTTGGAACTGTGAACATTACCTCGGGAAATAGTTCCAGGGTCACTCACAAGATCTATCCTCTTGTCTTGTTCTTGAAAAAGAAGTTTTAATTCTTCTCTTTTGCCTTTCTCTACAAATGTGTGTGAAATTCTGTCCAGCCTTTGCAGTCATTATCCTTTTACCTTAACTCTGATAGTGCTTCCCAGTGTTCAAATTATGTTCTCTCTCTATTGGTACCAAAGGGGTTGAGAAATGGAATATTTCCAGTCATATCGGTAAACAAAGGATGTCACAGTCATTAGCGATGTAGCCCTCCAGTATGAGCTGGTGAGCCCTGAGGAAACTCAAGATGTGAAAACACAGGATACTGGCCCCAGATAAGTGAGGTGCACATCAAAGGAATGATTTCAATGAGGCCAGACTCTTGCATCTTCCCATACATAGAAAGATACTAAATTCCTTAACTTGGGATACCTGGTTTTCTTTAATTAACAACAATCTTTTGACGTTTGGACTACCTGCCCTTTGTTGTAAAACTTCTATATAACCTGGTTTCCCCCACTGCCTCCCTGGAGCTGTTCTCTCAGGGTTACTTGAGATGCTGCCTCCCGGGCTTGAAGTCCTAGAAATTCCTGTTGAATAAAACGTAACTCTCAGCTTTTAGGTTGTGGGTAATTTTTTAGTTGGCAGGGTCTTTGTTGGTAAGACTGTGTTATTTCCCTAATACTAGTATAGCGCCTGGCTTATAGCAAACTCTCCGAAAGTATCTGCAGGAAGAATGAATTAACGAGCCCAGCATGTGCCAAGCACAATGCAAGGTGCTGGGGGAACAAAGGTGTCTGAGACAAGGTCTTGGCCCCTCAGGAGACTCAGCTTAGTGGGGGAGACCTATTGGGAAGCCTGATAACATAGCATTCTATGCTATAAATAGGCCAATGAAGTCCTGACAAAGTGCTTGGAAAGCTGCTAGAGGGAGCAGTCCTCAATAAAAGGCATTTGTATAGTTTATGGTTAAGTGCACAGGTGCTAGAGCTAGATAAGCCAGGGTTTGATTGCAGGCCTTGCCTCATTTAATTGCTGGGTGATCTTGGGTAAAGTACCCTGTGAACTAAATGGGCATATCAATAATTTTGTGGGGTTTGAGTGAGATATTGTATCTACTGCACTTAACAAATTGCCTGGCCTGTTGTAAAAAATTCAGTAGCAGAAGCAACAGCAGGAGCATCCTTATCCATGATACACCAAATAAAACCCTGGAGATGAGTGCCTGGGAAAGCATACGTGGTGGGTCTACTCCTCCAACATTACAAGGAGGTGTGACAATTAAATGAGGTAAAATAATTAAATGGGTCATGGGGGACAAATGAGGAGTGGTCTTAAGAATTAGATGAGATGATAGTAA